TACTGACAGAGATAGCAAGAGAGAGCAGAAGCAGGGAGGAGAGGAAGAAGCAGGCCCCCGGCTAAGCAGGGAGCCGGACTCGAGCCTCGATCCTAGGACCCTGGGATCATGACCTGAGCCGAAGGAAGACACTTAACCGACTGAGCCACCCAGGCGCCCCTGTTACATCTTATCACTGAGGCTATCAATTCAAGCAGTAACCACATAAAATGGGCTTTAAAAAATATTAGGTCATTTAAATTCAATGTGAATATTGTGGGCCATATATCATTCTTAATTTGACCATGACTGAAAGTTACAGAGAAATGCTGAGACGTGGACAATTCTATTTGTCCTTTACACAGATCGAGCCTCTTCCCACAACATTCTCCTCTGGGCTTTCCGATGATACTAGCTTTCACATCCAGCCTTTTAAAAGGAAAAGGAACAGGAGGAAAATTGAATATCAAACATGATTCGTAGCCCTCCATACCTCCATGACTGCAGACTGCAGATAAAACAAATGAAGAGGTCCCAGAAAGAGCAAAGCCCTTTCTCCTAGCACACAAACAGACTATTTTTATATTCAGGAGAGAACTCCCCTAAAAAAAAAAAAAAAAAAAAAAAAAAAAAAAAAAAAAAAAAAAAAGATCCTTCGGTTCTGGCAGCTATTTGCTGGTTCTAGAAAAGGGGAGGAAAGGATCGCCTTTCTCACTCAGTGTTTGAATAAGAGTCCTTATGTTAAACTGACATCTTGGTCTTAGGGTGAAACTCCTCTGAGGCTCTCAGAAAAAAAAGAAGCCAGGAGTTAGAAATCTGCTTTTTCAAACCCAGAGTCAGATTCTCAAGTACAAACTCTGGTCTCCTTTGCTTCCTTCTCCCTTCATTGGTGGGGGCAGCTGAGCTTTCACATTTCATATGGTAGAGCAGAGCTTCTCAAACATTAATGTGCACACAAATCCACTAGGGGTCTTGTTAAAATTATAGATTCTGATTCCATAGATCTTGGCAGGGAAGGGACCTGAGATTCTACATTTCCTACAAGCTCTCAGGTGAACCCATGCTGCCTGAACAATGCCTAAATTTGAAGGTTTTCAACAGTGCTAGAGGAAAGAATAATATTTTCTTGCCTATGAGAATTTTCCATAGTTTGCACCTTATATGGTCAACTTGTGCAGTGTTTCTGGGTATACTCATGTTTTATCCCAGAATGTAGATTGGGTAATTACAACAGAAGGAAATGTCCCTGAAATGGATCAAACAGTAAAGAAAGAGATGTTCCAGGGTGTTAGAATCTAGTTGGCCTGGGACCTGAGGGTACTGTCTACTTTCATGGAAATTGAACCAACTAGGTGGCATCATGCCCCTGCTAGGAGGCAGGACAAAAACACAATTTAAGAACACAGGCACACTAACCAACTTTGTGGTAGTGGTGGACGCCGGTAAAATCAGTGTTTCCTAGGTCAACCCTCTTCACTGCACAGAAGTCAAAGACTGTGACACATTAAGTCAACCCATGATGCCATGAAATACTAGGAAGGTATAAACCAAGGAGCACTCATTCTAGACAATTTTACTACATCAACAACCCAGAACATACCCCCTTATCTGAGTCATCCAACATGCAATACGCATGGCATGCACCATTTGTCTCCCTCACCAATCTCTATGGGAAATCCAGCCACCCAAAGTATGTTTTGTGGATTTGCTTTGTAGACTTTATTAAAGATATCATAAGTGAGATAAAGGGGGACAGACTTCACACATTTCACAGCTTTTAATCCTCCAGATCTTTGTTCCCTTGTAGAGATGTTCCCCTTTAAAGATTTCCATCTCCTATTCTCCCTCTTTGTCTCTTTCCTCCTTTGATGATCATCTTCATCCCCCTCAATGAAGCAAGGCCATATGGCATTAAACCCATATGCCCTATCAAACTCCATGTTCCACAAAACCAAAGGATGCTGCTCCCTTTAAGTGGCTATTTAGAAACCATGTACTGTTTCGTTTAGACGTTGATGTGATGGTTAATTCTATGTGTCAACTTGACCAGTCGAAGGGATGCCCAGATAGCTGAGAGAATGTTACTCCTTGGTGTGTCTGTGAGGGTGTTTCTGCAAGAAATTAACATTTGAATCGGTAGCATGGGTAAAGAAGATCCACCTTCACCAATGTGGGTGGGCCTCATCTAATCCATTAGGGGCTTGAATGGAACAAAAAGGCAGAGGAAGGGGAATTTCTCTTTCTCTCTTCTTGAGCTGGCATGTCCATCTTCTTCTGCCCTCAGGTACTGGAGCTCTTGATTAGAGTGGTCTACCTAGAAGTAAATTTCTTTGTATAGCCTATAGTAAATCAGGAGTAATTTTTCTTAACACTTTTTGTTTTGTTTGGCATTCTTAGTAAAGTTCTTTATATTGGAATGATTTTAGATTTATAGAAAAGTTGTAAAGATAGCATGGAGATTTCCCATATGAACTTTACCCAGTTTCCCCCAGTGTTAACATCTTACACGACCATGGCTTGCTTGTCCAAACTATGCAACCAACTTTGGGACATTACTATTAACTGTATTTATAAATTTTACGAGGATTTCCCCAGTTTATCCAATAATGAGATTTTTCTGTTCCAGGATCCCATTCAGGATACTACATTGCATTTAGTTACTATACCTCTTAGTCTCCTCTGCACCATGACAATTTCTCAGAATTTCCTTGCTTTTTGTAACCTTGACAGTTAGATATTTTTCAGAATATCCCTCAACCTGGATTTGTCTGATGCTTTCTAATGATGAAACTGCAGATATGGGTTCTGGGGAAGAAGTCCTCAGAGGTGAGGTGCCCTTCTCATCATGTCCTATTGGGAGTCCATGATTTCCATATGACTCATCACTAATGATGTTAACCAGGGTCACTTGGTAAAGGCCGCATCTGTTGCGTTTCTCCACTGTTAATCATTTCTTGTGTTGTGTGACCATGGGATTTTTAAAAAAAGTATCAATTTTCAAAATACCTAAAGTGGTATTTCTTTCTTTTTTTATTGAGTTCCTTTTTTGTTTTCAATTTATTTCTAATTCAACTTTATCTTTGTTATTTTCTCCCAGAAAAAAATTCTTAAATACCATATTTCTCATAGAACTCTCCTGCTTAAACCTTCAGGCTATTCTTGGTTGGGATAAAAGGAAACCCATATTTTGAGCATCTCCAAGGTGTGAGGGAAAGTAATAAATATTTTATATATATTTCTTACTTACATTTCACAAGAGCTCTCTAAATTAAATATTAACAGACCGTTTTTTCAAATGAAGAAACTAATTTTCCCAAGGCCATAGTTAAAGACAGTAAGTAATAAAACATGTATGAGAGAACCTAGATTCTTTACCCAAAGACTCAAGATCACCCACAAACTTTTCAAATTTGACTTTGTCACTCTACTACATGGGTCCACTCCCACCCACCCCAAAAAAAGAAAGGTCTATGCCCTGCACTGTAAGCATTCCCTAAACATCAGTGCCTTGAACATTCACTCCTGCAGCCCCTATTCTCCAAGTGGCCATCCTAAATATCACTCAACTCCAAGCTGAAGCCTACCTCCTCCAGGAAGCTCCCACTGAATATGACGCCCACAACCACATCTTCTCCCTTGTACTGAGTGTGCTGTTTTCTAGCATTCACTAGCACTAGATGATGGTCTTCACGCCCCTGCATCCAGCTTGTTAAACAGGGTTAGTCCATCCATTCACCATGCCATGGAGCGTACACAACTTCCAGCCCTGATTAACAATGCTTACATGAGGAAACCCTCAGGAATGGTCTCTGGCTTCTTGGCTGGAGCCATGCATTATGTCCTTCTCACCACATCCCACCTCCTGACTTTGACCCCCTCCTGTGGCCTCCCCTTGCATTTGACTACACACCCATGCAAAAGTCAGCCAGCTACCAAGGTAGAGGGAGTAGTCCTCAAGACTGCTATCACTTCTTTTTTTTTTAAAGATTTTATTTATTTATTTCAGAGAGAGAGTGTGTGAGTACAAGCATGAACAGGAGAAGGGCAGAGGGAGAAGCAAACACCCTCCTGAGCAGAGAGCCCATTGTGGGGCTTGATCCCAAGACCCTTAGATCATGACCTGAGCTGAAGGCAGATGCTTAACCGACTGAGCCACCCAGGCGCCCCAGATTGTTATCACTTCCGATGCTAATTGCAGGATCTGGGGGGTTTCCCCAGACCACGCTATAATTCTATAGAAGGACTCACAGATCTCACAGAAAGCTGTTTTCTCCCAATTATGATTTACTATACTGAAAGGGTACACATGGAAATCAGCAAAGGGAAAAGACATAGAGATGCATGTGGGAAAACTGCAAATGCAGAGCTTCCAGGTATCCTCTCCCTCTTTGGAGACATGGACAGTATTACATTCCCAGCACTGATGTGTGACAATACACAGGGAGTATTGCCATGTAGGAACACTCACCTGAGATTTGGTGTCTAGAGTTTTTATGGAGACTCCATCATGTAAGAATGACAGACTGACCACGTGGCTGACCTCAGTCTCCAGCCAGTCAGGAAGACAAGCTGATACCTCATGACCCAAAGCCCCTACCTTCTGTCACTTTGTTTGGTTTTCTGGCATGCCCAGGACCCCCACCCTAAATCACAGTGTTACACAACCCAGTGACCCAAAGCCCCCGGGGCAAACAAAGATACCCCTGTCTCAGGACATTCCAAGGGCTTAGAGGTCACTTCCAGAAGCTAAGTGGCAAAGGCCAGATCTCTTTTTGAACAAGATTAAATTCTAGACTACACCGTTGGGTATCTCTTACTGTCTTGAGGACCTTCATCCTCTTTTTTGACACTTAGCTCTGCATATGTTTCTTACCACAACCAGAACATGTGTGTGTATGCAGACACTCAGACATTTACAATGATGTTTCCACAGTGCTAGGATTATGGTTGGTTTTTTTTTGTTTCTCATTTATACTTTTCTACTATATCCATATATCCTACAAAAATGGTTGCTTCAATAATTAGGATGGGAAAACAGATTTTAATGAGGCTTTTTTTTTTTTACATGTTGCCTATCCAGTTTTGTTCACTATGAACTACAAGATTTGTCCACTCAGTAGGTCACTGATATAATATTTGGAGGATTGTACGTACTTTTTCCTCCCATGAATTATGTGAAGAATCACTAAAAAGGGTATGTTAAGAATAATGTAAACTCTACTTGCTAATTAGAACTAGGCATGTTTTACAGTAAAATACCCTAAGTACACACCTAAGCAGCATCAGCACACACAAGAGACATGCGTATGTAAACACAAGTATATGTAGATGTCAACATGGACACGTGTGGATTGTGTCACTCTATATAAGATGCTTCAGCCAGGATGGCCATTGGGGTACTCTCTTATTTGTCTTATCCAAATTTCTTCTCTGCCCGTTCAATGGTGCTATTTCTCACTACAGTATGTACTATCAATGCAGACAGTAGAACCCCTAAGGGACCAAGACTGAACCCTAGGGGTGAAAGAAACCTTAGTGTTTTTATGTATAAAGCACAAATATGCACGCGGTACATAAATAGATAAACAATGTAAGTACGGTATTAAACTTACATGGGAGGGAAATGGTACAATTAGAAAAGAAAATGTCCCAAAAAAAAAAAAAAAGAAAGAAAGCAACTCCTTTGTGAAGCCTTATCTTCCTCAACCTTAACTGAGAACTCCTTACTTTGACACAAGAATTTCTTGAATTTACTTCAGCCATAACCATACCAGCATCGAAAGGAGGTCAGGGTGCCTCCCCTTCCGTGTGAAGCTCACCAGAGCTTCCTTGTAATTATCTCTCTATTTGCGAGAAACCAGCAGTGTCTCTAGTACCTGGGAAGTGCTACATAATCATTTCATGAATAAGTAAACCAGCTAAGAACAAAAGGTCAACTATAAAAATAACTCACAAGTATTGAACATTGACAAGGGACCAAAGACGGTTCTGATTATCTCCTAAATCCTCACAGCACCCCTATGAAGGAGACACTGGGGTTTCCATTCTCATTTTATAAACAAGAGAAGTGACACACAGAGAATTTAAGCCAAGTTTCCAAGCCGGCTCAGTTAGTAAGTGGAAGACCCAAGCACAGATCCAGGAGCCTAAACATCACTCCACTTCTCTGTATCAACACGTCATCGTTATTCCTGGGAGCAATCCAGTGCTTGGAAGAAGTATTCTTTATGCTAAGAAAGAATAAACATACCCTTCATAAATAATACAAAAACAAGCAACAGCTTCTACAGAGTGGAGAGCTACTGCCAAGGAGCCAGGAGTGTCCTGGCAATTAATAAAACATTTTTAAATGTACTCTAATTAGAATACAATAAGGAAAATTAATTAATGATTCTGAAACAGAGAGCAAGTAGAAACAATTATTATAATTTTGCATGTATTGAGAACCCATAACAGTCCCACTGTCGGGCTCACAAAATCCATTCCCCATGCTATGAGGTGTAGTTTGAACCACTGGTAGAGATGTCAGTCTATATTTTGTTGGACCACTGTTTTAATCTGGTAGGGTGTGCCACTGAGAGATTAAAAAAAAAAAAAAAGTCAAATAAAATAACACACATGTTCTCAGTAATTCCATATACTGTGGTTGATGGCAATGCTAGACCCCTACATATGACTCGACCAGAGCATTCACACACAATAGATTCCAGGCATGCATAACTGCTGGTATTAATGCTCCATACTTCTGCCTGGTTTTCAATCAAATCTTTGCTATAAAATAGAAGACAATTCCAGACGGTCCTGTGTTTAGCTTAGAGTCTATTATTTCTGCCACACGAGCTGTTCTTCAACATAACACAGTCACTTTGGAAAGTTCTTATTTTGCTAAACGTGTCCCTGAGCAAATGTCTAAATAATTACAGTCCCTCAAAAATGAGAACATTTATGCCATGAAATTCAACTAGTGGGAAAATTGCTTTCAAATGTCCCATGTCTGTTGCAAAGGATTGTTCTGGTTTTACATTTAATGTTTCTCAGTTTTGTACCAAGCCAATATTCGGAGTTTTCAAAATTAGCTTTATATGGTGATCACTGGTCTCCTTCCACATTTTCTAAAAACTACATCTCTAGCTCCCCTCTGTGTGAATAAATCTAGAGCTTCAGCTATGACTGATAAACCATGATTTCTCATGTCAGTGGTAATTCTAACAATAGATGTTTGTGCTACAATTTATAGCTATGGAGCTTTTTACACGTGTTGTTGAACTTATTCTCAGAAGAACAGAAGCTATCAGCACTGCTATAATCTCTGTCAGACAAGGTTCCGGGGAGAAATATCACTTACCAGAGGTAGCGCGTCAAGGTAGAGTAAGCTGCAGCTACAAACAGACCCAACGTGGTGGCTCAGACGTGGTCATTTCCATGCACAGTGTAGAGCCTGTGTTGAGGGCAGCGGAAACCTCTGCTCCACACGGTCATTCAGGGATCCAAGCTGTCATGCTTCTACCATCTTCAATTCACATCGTGCATTGACCCTCTGGGCATCAGCACTGCAGTCGGCTGGAGGGAAGTGCAGGGGGGTACATCTTATGAGAGACTTCCAAGGTTATGCCTAGCACATTCACTTCTGCTCACTTCTGGGAGCACCTGGTCAGCTGGGCACACCTAACTATGAGGAAGACTGGAAATGGACATAGCTGGGTATATGGAAGAAGGGCTGGGCAAACGGTCTCTCCCACAGCTAAGGAAGAGCCCGAGCAGGACTGAGCCAAGTTCTTCTGACTCAAATCCTGTATCTTCTCTCTATCCATCACTGCCTGAATGCCTGGACTTAATTAAAGTATCATTGGATCAAATGGACTGCTTCCTCATTACAAACATTTTGTCATAGGGGATATACCCATCGCTGTGTTCTGGCCAACACTCTGCCAGCCAACATTTTCCTCCAGGAGGAAACTGGCTTTTTATCTCTTGAGAACACGATTGATCCCCAAGGGCTAAGACATTCAGTGCAAATCTAAGCTATGGGACAAACAGATAGAATGAACCATGTCAAGAGTGTAAGGTTTGGGGGTAGGTGCTGCTTACTTGGTCCTGCCCAGGGTTTGCAGCACCAGAATCCTGGATTCTGTAGGTACATGTAAGTAGGTACCTACTGGGACCTACCCTGTAAGAGTGGGCAGCCTCTGTAGGTCGTGAGATCTTGTAGAAATGAAGGCATTTGTCCAAGAGGAATAAAAACACATGTCCCCACAAAAACTCATATACGAATGTTCACAGCAGCATTTTTCATAATAGCCAGTATGTGGAAAAACCATAAACGTCCACCAACCAATGAATGGATAAGCAAAATGTGTTCCATCCATATAATGGAATATTATTTGGCCATAAAAAAACAATGAAATTCTGACAGGTGCTACCATGTGGATGAACCTCAAAGACATTATGCACAAAGAAGCCAGACACAAAAGGTCACATATTGTAGATTCCATTTACATGAAATGTCCAGAGGAGCAAAATCTAGAAAGACAGAAAGCAGACTGACTGGTGGTTGCCAGGGGCTGGCAGAGAGTGGAATGGAAATTGACTGCTGATGGGTAGGGGCTTTCTTCTGGGGGGAATGAAAATATTCTAAAATTGTGGTAATGGATGCACCACTCTGTGAATCTACTAAAAAACACTGAGTTGTAGAATGTAGCTGTGTAAATTGAATGGCATGTGAATTCCATCTTAATGAAGGTGTTACCAAGAAAAGAAATGAAGTCCTTTCTCAGGGGCATGCAGTGAGTTTGTTCCAAAGGGACAACCAAGAGGCCCTGGAGGGCCTCCAGAGTGCCTCAGGATTCCCTTAGCAACATGGCCAAGGAAAGTTGTAGCCACAGAGCCATGGCACCAGTGACATCCCATGAAATGGGAATCCACAACACATTCCTTCAGTACATCCTCAGCTTCCTTCTTTATATGCTGAGTGCATGCAACCTGAGCAGCTAGGAGGCGGACCATAGACCACAGACCTCATGCCCCTCATGGCTTTCCCCCTTGCAAAAATCTTTCGGAATAAAACTCTCTCCTGACTAAGTCTGGATTTGGTTTCTGGTTGTTTGTTTTTATTTGTTTTGCGTTTTGACGCCCAAACCCACACGGGGCTCTCAGGATTAAATTGCCAAGTGGTTCCTCCCAACACCATCATTAGTTCTTACCCTGGCCTACTTTCCTCAACACTGATGGAATTGATTTGTTAGGACATCTCCTTGCTTCATCTGTGGACTCCCTCCGTCCATCCTCTGTTTTCTTTTAACAAGTTGAATTACCACTGATAATCAGATTCTCAAAACACAGCAATCCTTGGAGAAGCTGTTTGATTTGGAACTTTTGGAAGAAGGTAAAAGGACTTTTTTGGTGATGATGCAGCCTATGGTCTATGATGAGAACTGTGACTTTCTGCCACACGGTGGGTTACAAAGGATATACCTTGTGTTCTCACATGCCCACTGAGCAATGCTTGAGCAAGGGATAGAGGGAGCCATGTCCCCTCAGAGCTGGCTGGGATTTTCTCTTGGTACTTTCTTCTCGTTCCCCAGCTGATCTGTACCCAGAACTCTTGCTTTTAACTGAGTTAGTTTCTATTTGGCATTTTCTTGAAGTGCTGAGTGTTTACCCATGCATTTCTAGCCAGGGCTTCCCACCACACAGGGACAGGGACGATAACCATAAGTCCTTTGTATTATGTGAACTAATGTTCCTCCGTAGTCTTTTGGGTTGTTGGTTTCAACCCCTTCCTGTTCTATATTCTGTGGGCTGTTCTAAGGAAAGAAGCAGGTCTGACAGCCATCACTTCAGTCTCCTGAAAATTTGACTCTACGTGAAGGAGGAACTGAATGTTTGGGAACTCTTTGCCAGGTTCTTCATCTGTGTCCTTTTCCTAAAACCACAACTGTTCTAACCACACAGAAATAAGTGGCTCACATTAGCGTGCTTATTCTGGTACTTTATCAAGAACTGAATAGTGGACCTAGATCTATATTATAGGCAGTTTCTGGGCTTTATTTACAAACAGAGTGCTTTAGACAAAGTCTTTTGCATAATACAAATAGCAAGTGATTATTCTCAAATGGCCATAATACTCCTAGTCAAAAGCTCTTTCAATTGAAATGGCATTAGCATGCATCTTATTTTCCAGAAAATGTATTGGAAACTGCAGGAGAAAGGTCCATTCTCTGTGCCTTTGGGAGAACTAAGCTACTGAATAAAGAGGAAAACCGAGTCGTTATTGAAAGACCTGATTCTCTACTTTGGAGAGGTTTGATAAGATTATTTGATAAGAGTCTTGGGCTCCTTTGTGTTTGGAGCGAGGCACTGATGAAGCAGGCAGGAGTAAAACATTGAATAAGATACGGTTCCTTCTCTAAGGACATTTACAATCTACTTTTATGAACATTCCAGTCAAGAATCCCCAACCACCATGTGAGGGGATGACACATTTCTAAGTTTGGGTTTTTTTCTTTTTCCCTGCTCCTAATACCATCCAAATCTAGTGCCTTCACCAACAAAATGATGATATCCACTGGGACCCAGACAATAGTCTAAAGAATGGAAAGCTGAATAACTTTGTCCTCTGTGTGATATCTGCTTGATTATTCTAAAAAAACAGAAGTCGATGACTGTTTTTGCACTAAATAGTCACAATCCAAGGCTCTCTGCTTTGATTTAAGGCTCTTTGGGGTCACTGAAGTGTCATTTGGAAAATTGCTTCCTGACACATAATATTATGGTAATGATCCCCTAAAGCCTGGCATAAAGGCTCTGCCATGAGAGCTAACAATTTATTTTCTTCCAAGTATGGTTTTAAAACAAGAGGCAGCTGGGGGTCAAGAGAGAGGCTCTGGGTTATAACAGGCTTAATGCGACCCTTGGAATTTTTTTAACATGCTTGGGAGGAGAAAGATTGTTCATAAATACTCATTTACAGAAACAGTTCAAGAGACACAGAAAAGATAAATTCTTACATCTGAGCACACAATTATAACCTAATAACAATATAAATAAGGAGAAGAGAGGAAGGTGCTAGAATTTTGGGGGTAAGGTTAGAAGCTGAGAGACCTAGATTCAAATCCCAGCCTTGCCTCTCATTGATTATATCCCTTTGGTTTACAAATCAAGCTTTTTGAGCTCAGCCACCTCAGATAAAGCAGAACCACCTGCCTCAAAGACAGGGGTGAAGTTTAAATGCAATATTGTGAGCAAAAGCTAAGAAGCAAATATATAGTGTATGTACATAGACTATGTGTATGGTTTATGTACCTAGTGTAAACTCAACAACTGTACTGATCACTGTTAGTATTACTGTTATATAGGAGTTATACACAAAATTATTACATACACAGGGCCAGGTACCATGCTCTGCTCCATATCTGAGATAGGTAGTGTGATGTACATTTATTTTGTCTAGGCTATGGTGCCAGTATTCGGCTGAACACTAGGCTAGATGTTGCTGTGAAGGTGTATTTTAGATGTGATTACATTTAAATCAGTAGACTCTCAGTAAAGCAGATTATCCTGCATAATGTGGGGGGGCGGAGCAAGATGGCGGAGGAGTAGGAGACCTGGATTTCGTCTCCTCTCAGGAATTCAGCTGGATAGGGATCAAACCATTCTGAACACCTACAAACTCAACAGATCGAAGAAAAGAAGAGCAACAACTCTCTCATCAGAAAAGCGACCACTTTCTGGAAGGTAGGACGTGCGGAGAAGTGAGTCCGAGGCGATATTCAGGAGGATAGACGGCGGGGGAGGGGCCTCCGTCGGCCGCTTCTGGCAAGTGATAGAGCCGCGGAGCACAAAATCGGAACTTTTAAAAGTCCACCGAGGGACGTCACTCTGGTGGCTAAGCGGGGGGTAGAACCCTCCGGGACAGTGTGGTGTCAGGACCCTCGGGGTCACAGAAAGACCAGGGGTGCCTGAGTTTGGCAGGGCTCCCAGGGATCGGAGCGGGGAAGCCGGCTGCAGAGACAGAGCCGAGGAGCGGGCTTTCAGCTCGGGGTGGCCATAAACCGTGATCCGCGGCACCGTCGGGCCCCTGCTCCTCCAGCAGGGACCCAGCAAGCGGCAGATCTGGGGAGACTCACCTTCCTCCCCCGGGAGGAGCCGCGCGGGAGGGCACCGCAGGGATCTGCTGGGTTTGGAGACTCCACCCGGGGTCGGGGGCCAGAGATAGAAACGCGCGGTCACAGGCCGGGTGAGCACGGAGTGCGGCCGGAGAGCGGGGAGACGGGAGTGACTGACGGCTTTTCTCTGGGGGCTCACTGAGGAGCGGGGCCCCGAGTTCTCGGCTCCTCCGGGGCGGAGATTGGGAGGCCGCCATTCTCACTCTCCGCCTCCAAAGGTGTAGGGAAAGCTCGCAGGGAACAAAAGCCCCGGAGAGCAAACCCGAGCAGATGACTTAGCCAGGAGGGGGCAAGGGCGGGGCAATTCCGCCTCCGGCAGAGACGTTTGGAAACCATGGCAACAGGCCCCTCCCCAGATGATCAGCGAGAACAGCCGGCCAAGACCAAGTTTAGCGA